TTTCATATGATGTGGCAGCGAAGTTTTTTATCTATGCAAATTATTCCAAGTTATTATGTATACATTATAACTAAAATTAATTTCATGTTATAATAATTTTAAAAACATCAATTGTTTAAAAGTGTCCTATCAACTCTCAGGTATATCTTAGAATTAAAATATTACATCCTTTAAGTTGGCAGAATGAATAATTTGATTTCATGGTCGTCAATTACAATTTGTTCTTGAATGAGTTTTGTTCGAAATATGGGATGTATTTGGATTTCAAGTAGAAAAAATTGACTAACATAATGTAATTATGATTGGATAAGATCTTATAAAATTGATTTTGCAAAATCGATTCAGCAATTGAGAAAAAATTAGCTTCTGCAGAATGAAATTTCAAGAACTAAATGAAGCTTCAAAAAATAAGAGATGTTTGGTTAACTTCTATACAATAGAGTTTGAAAAGATTAAGAGTATACTGGGAGATGATGCTCTCCTTTCCCTTCCCGTCCTCTTTTTAATTTTTAATCATTTGATTTTTATTTGAATGGTTTAGATTTAATCTCCTATAAAATATTTTATTTTATTGTATTTTTTGGTTATTTATATTAAATCTTACTAGTTTGTTTGTTATTATTTATATTTCTTAATAATTTAACATTCTAATAATAATTTTATAAGAGATAAAGTTTAAACCATTTAAATTTTAATCTAATAGCTTGTAAGAAAAAAAAATGGAAGAGGATGAGAAGGGAAAAGTAGACAATCCTCTCCCGTCTTAATCTATGTCCGTCTATCTATCTATCTTTTTAAAAATTACCTTTTTTCTAAGACTCTAGTCTATGTAATGTAAATTTATATTTAAAAAAATTCAATTGTGCAGCACTGAATAATTATGAAAAAAATTTGTATTTTTAAATTATTTTTTAAATATGGAGGCATATAATAAATAATTTTTTTCCCAAGATCTATAGTTTTTAAGTAATTTTTTTTACTAAAATGTGTAATTTATTCAAATAATGAGCTCAATGTGTTTTACATTTATTTTTTAAATAAGAGAAATACATAAATTCAAGAAAAAATTGACTTAGCTACGTTCTCGACTGGTATGTAAATTTCTACGGAAATTATTTGATACCTTTAAAAAAAAATCCAGTAAACTGTGAAATTGATCCAGCAGAGAAATTCATTTTGCATTCTGTGAGTTCTTGGGTATAATTTTCCTTTATTCCAGAGAGTTCAATTCACCAAGTGATTGAAAAGTACACATATAATTGGTGATTAGGTGACTTGCTTTATTTTTTTTCCGATTAATATTGGTATAAATAATTTAAGTTAGTCTTTTCTTCTTCTAAGTGAACCATGCTGATTTGATGTTGATGACCTACCTTTAGCTGATGGGATTAATATTATGACACTTTTTATAATTGTAAATGACATATATAATATTTTTCTACATGGAATATAAAATTCAGGGCCTCATATTATTTCAAGGATGAAATTAAATTCAAAGCTGCCTGCCTTGACATGACTGGTGAGGAAAAATGAACCTTAACTTTAAAGAAAGACAATTTGAATTTTACAAGTTAATTGATAACATATAAGAAAGATTTTCAGAAAGAGAGGAATATATAAATCCGTCCAATTTTAAAACAAAAAAATGGCAATGCATTTAATTCATAGTGTTGTTATCAAGGTACCATTTGGTAGGTTACTGATCAAAGTTTAAAATATAAAATTTTTTATATTTATTATTTATAATTTTTTCACCTGTAAAATAAGTTTTAAATAAAAAATGAAATAATATTTATGTTAATCATAATTTATTGCTACGCAATACTCACTATGCTGAGCTTGCATATATCGAGATGAGGAAACCTAACAAGAGGGGGGAGGGTCTCTCCATTTTTTTTCCTCCATTTTTCTTCATTTTTTCAATCCTTATCATTTAAATTATTTTATTAAATAATTTTTTTAAATGATAAAATTAATGAATGATGGGGATGAGAGAAATGAAAGAAAATGAAGGAAAAAAAAAAATCCCAAATCCTAACAAGAGCGTGCCCCACAGATCGGGTCGGGTAAGAACTTTTCGAGTAGCAAGTCCTACAACCAAATTTGTTATAATGTTATATTTTAAGATTTAAATTTGAAACTGCTAGTTAAGTTTTTACAATTTCTTAAGTTAGAGGTGGGTGATAGCATTTTCGTTATTTTGAGTTGCTTTGTCGATGTAATGATGTAACTTATGGGTCGTTTGGTTTTCTGAAAGAATAGAAATATAATAGATTAAAATGTTAAAATAAAAATAATTTACATTACATTTTTTTATAATAAACATAATAAAATTTAATATTATATATTATAAATGTAAAAATCATCACACTTTTAAAAAAACTTATTGAATCATGACTTTTAATTCTATAAAGTAAATTTCATGAATATGATTAACTCCCTTTTATATTTTAATGATCTTATTTTTATTCTATTTTTTCCAATTTATTCTGTTTTCATTTCATTTTGCAACCAAATAGACCGGTGACTTACGTTGTCGAAGAGGAGACAAGCTACAGCAATGACCAGAGAATTTGAAGTACAACTAAACTTTCAAGAGTGAAGCGTCCTAACTCGTGTTTTCAACTTTCCAAAGTCGTCTAGTCCACTACGTTGGGGGGAAAAATGCCCAATCCTACGTGTACGGCGTACCTTTCTCTCCATGCCAATCAAAGAGTCGTGTAGTGGCAGAACAATAATGTTGACTACATCTGATCCACATATCATATTGTTTTTATTTCTTAAAATCAAGGGCATCAAATTAAATTATAAAATATTAATTGATGCCACTAAACTCTGAAAATATGGAGGATTTTTTATTTTTTCGGGAAAAATAAACTCTTTTAGTGAACTGTAAAATGAGTTGTTTACTTTTGACTCTCAATTTAACTTTGTTGAAGATTTTAGCTGGATTTCTTTATTAATAATATTTTATATGAAATCAGTTTTAACATTTATTATTATCATAAACATTGAGAATATATTATCTCTGCATCGTTCAGATTTAACCTGAAGGGTTTAGATTTATAATATTTTACTTTTATTTCCTAAAAAATTATTTTAATGGATACAAAATTTAAAATAAAAACTATCTTTTAATTATTAGTTTTTCAAAAAAATTATTTAAAAAATACTTATTAAAAAACTATAAATTTAAATTATGAAAATTAAATTTAAACAGCGATCAGCTTTCCATGCTTATTAGTGTGATGTGTAATGAAACTAGTTCATATTTTAGGATGACGCATGGATTACATGATTCAAACGTAGAATTCTTTTATTTATTGACGCATGGATTACATGATTCAAACGTAGAATTCTTTTATTTATTTATTTTGATAAAATGCTATTGATAATTTTAAGGTGACATATGGATTACGTAATACATGGAATTATTTCCAAGTCAGCCGCCGCAGCCACATATTTTTTCTTTTCCTTTTTTTTTTGGGAGAAAGAGAGAGGGAAAAAAAAAAGACCTAATATTGTCTTATGCGGCTAATCAATCAATTTTAGTTATGTAACGACTTAGGATTGGCCTCATGTTTCTGATCAATGGGCTTTTAGCCCAAATAACCATTGGGCCTCCTTGAATTCTATGCTCGGGTTTGGCCCGAGAGATTTTTTTTAAAAAAAACACAGTTGTTACATTTCCCCAACGATGTTGTTGACCAAATTACTCAGATAAAAAAAAAAAAAAACCCCGGAAGTATCGGAGCCCACGTAAATAAGAAAATATTTATAAGATGTCGGCAAAAAATTTATTTATAATACGCCCAATAAAAATAAATATAAGAAATTCGAAATTCATGTATGTGACAAATCAAAAAGGAGTGCTAACTTCCCCCTCTTCACACACACACATACTCTCTCCCTTTTTATTTGTTTAGATAAGCTTTCACATTTGATTTTTTTTATAAGTAAAATCACATATGCCCTCCGATTCTATTTGCATGACAGCTTTTAAAAGTAATTTTTATTTAAAATGTAAAACATTTTGTAATAATTAAATAATTTTTTTAATTTTATTATCTCTTGATTAGTATGTGAGTATTTAATGTACTTGTATAATGATTAAAAGTTAAGTGTAAAAATAGAAGTATATTTCCTTCTTTATGATATCAAAAAATTATTTTTTTTAAAATGTGAAATGGTTAAAAAGGTTCTATAATAAAGATCAAAAGAGTATTTAAATAAGTATTTATTACAGATTTTTTAAATTATCCTTTATAGTTTACATTACAGGAAACAGTTAAAACAAGGCATTTTAATTTAATTTCTTTATATTTCAGATATATTTATTGTAGTTAATTAATTTTTTTAAATTATGTGTGATACAAGTTTTTTTTTTTACATATAAAAACAGAGAAAGTGTGTGTGAGACAAACTCACTTCTTTTTATGAATAAATGCTAAAATTATTTAGGGAACTAGTTGTAGATCCCATGCCAGACCCCCAAACCTACGTCGACCATCCAAATGTTTAGAAACAGGGTCAAAAGTTTTTGAAAAAATAATAGCAATAGTAATCACATTACATGCCACCCCAGCTATTACTGTTCATGCTATCCAAATAGTGTTGTAATGTCATCTAGGTAGAAAAATACTTTTTAGAAAGGAAATGATAAATGCACTAATTATATTTTCTTTCCAAGTATATTTTCTATTTTCTTTCTAGAAAATACTTTTCCATATACCAAACATTGTCCAAGTTTCCCACATATTTGAGTGTGTATGTTAAATAAACTATTGAACTACGCCTTTGAAATTTCCCTTTCCAAATGGAATTCATGTGTCGAAAGTTTCATCGTGCATCATACTAATTCAACAACACATTATGATTCGAAAATAAACTTACTGTGAAAAAGAAAAAGGAAATAAGAGGCGCATGGGAATCCAACCAGACTTGCACAACATAAATGAATGACACTGGACTCTCTTTTTTGGGTAAAAGACACTGGACTCTTTATTTTGTCAAGGAAGTTCTCATTCATTTCATAATAAGATACGAAACATTCCGGCCACAATTTTTTAATGGCTGAATTCGTATAAACCTGTGCTCTACTTCACTAAATTTCTGGGTTCTAGGAATTCAAATAGAAACCAAGAATCATCAATCATTTCCAGACTTGCCATGAAAATACACACAAAATAAGGTACTCATCGAAATTTAGGATGATCAAGCAGCGGCAGTGATGTACTGGATTGCCTCTTTGCATATTCCGGTCATTGTTGCTTCTGGTCCGTAAACCTGTGAAGAGACCTCAAAAAAATCAGAGAAGGTTCCTCATGACTCGTACTTTTTCTGTTAAGGATCAGAAAAAGTACTGAATACTATTGGCTAAGGAATTGTTTTTCGACCTCAATGGGGATTCCAATCTCCTCTCCAAGTGCTCTCATTTTAGCAAGACCCTTCTGGTAGTTGGGGCCTCCTCTCCTCACATATATGTGCATCCTTGCCGCTTTTAACTTTGCTTCCTGGTTTTCAATAGCAAACAATCCATTATCTCTATCACAAGCATATTGCTAAGGATTGCAATAGAATCATTTGTGAGGTTTCTTTTGACAGCTCAAGTTTATGTCAGAGACTCAATTTGACCATATGACAAAAGGGCTTAGAGTTCAATTTTGACTCTCTCTTTATCTTAAAACAATTTTTACGTTTTTTAAAGATGAAGTGGTGATTGACATAAATTAGCACGATAAAAATTGATGATAAGCTTACCTTCTCTTTCAATGCTCGAATTATGCCACTAAATGTAGCAGCAACATCAGTAAAGTTAGCTATTCCCCCTCCAATCACAAGGGCTCTTTTTTGGCCGTCAGGATTTGCAGTTGCACACTGTAAGAAAACAAAAAATGAGATGGTAATAGAGCAGGGCATTAAGTAGTTGCTAGTTTCAAAAGAGGATAAGGGGAGATAAGAGTCACTTACATCAATTACTACTCTAGCATACTGTAACACTTCCTCTTCCTTTGGTGCCCCACTATATTCCGCATAATTTCCAAGCTCAGATGCATAGCCAAGGTCTCCTACCTATTTCATCATTATGTTTTTAATAAATTAGAAATTAATGGGTCAATGATATCAGCAAAGAAGACATTGAGTATTGACTTTTTAGTCAGGTTGTCAACTGGGAAAAACACACCGTATCAGCATAAATCACACTAGCACCTCCCCCTGCTACCATTGTCCAAATCCGGCCCTTTGGGTTCAGCACTGTGAATTTCAAAGATGCACTTGTCTGCAAGAATTATACATGCAAACAAAAATCATGAACTTTTCACAGACAAAAGTTACTATAGACCTAAAAGTGACAGGTTAGTTGGTGGAAAACTGAAACAGAGCTTAGAAATAGCAACACGTCATTCTTGGAGCCAGTTCGTTACTTGTATTAAGAAGAAATAAACCCAGACCCAGACCCAGACACAAACATATACGTAGCCTTCTAATGGACAAAGCTAAAACCGATCAAATAAAGATAGAAAGACAGGTGCAAGTTACATTACTTCACCTTTTCATCTAATTCATGAACGAAACTCTCTGTGGGGCTCATAATCCTTCCAAATGGCAATGGAAATTCAAGGTCTCCCCATCTGGGAAAAAAAAAACAGTAAAGAAGTTGAGCAAAATATTATTCTGGTTTACAAGATGGATTGGAGTTGATAGTATTCATATTTAAAACCAAGTGGAGATATTGATTGAAAGGAAGGAACTCACTTGTTGAAGTTCTTGAAAGCAGCAGTGTCATCTAGCTCACCCCTCATATCCAATGGGTAAGGCTTTCCATTAACTAATGTGAATGGGTTCATTTCTAGGAAAGTGAAATCCAAATCTGGTACAAGAGCGTACACAGTCAATGAAGTTATTGAACTCGCATATCTTCTGGCACATAAATATACAATTCATTAACATACCAAGAAATATAGCAAAAACTAACTTGAGAAACTCCTCAATTTCTCCCTTGATCTGTATATGCAGGAGTAAATTTCTTATCAGTAACAGGGATAAAGTGCCAATGAAAATAATCATGTATGATATCAACGGAATGGTCCTGTTGGTAAACATCCGGAAATATGGTGATAAACCCAAAAAAAAAAAAAGCGACTGAAGTAGTTTACCTCCAATGGAAGGGTTGCCACAAGTGGGGCAACAATTTCTGAAGTAAGAGAAATTCCGGTTGGAACAAATATAGTCTTAACCTGAAATAAGGGAAAACCACTTTTAAGTTACAAGGGAAGGTTAATGAGCTGAACTTGCAACAAGTATGTTTATAAGGGCATAAAATCCACGCCTTAGTACCTTATCCCAGTTTTCTTCAATTTCAATTCCTCCACATTCTGAAAAGCTTACACTGTTTCCAAGCCTCTTGGAGACAATGTTAAGGTAAACTCTTCCTTGTGCGGGATGAAAGGTTCAACAATGAAAGTAGTTATGGGTCCTTTGCATCCACTCATCTCAACCTATACATTTTAGAGAAAAATATCAACTGTTTAAAAAGCAACAAAAGAAAACATGTAATGGTACTGGAAAAAAGGAAAACTGTAAGAAACATTGAAGGGGCAGAAGCTAAAAATCACCTCTTTGCCTAGACGCTCCTTCACAAATGAAGCAACTTGTGCCAAATCCAGGTTCAAGGCAACCAAACCACTTTTCCCTCGCTTTCCAAACAACATGTCAGGTTTCACAACCAATTTGGAAGATGAAAGCCAAGGTTCCTTCTCCACAAGCTCATTGAAATCAGTTGACTGTGTAACCTGGCAAAGAATGTAGAGTAGATTCATTACTCAAATTCAAAATTCAAGTGATGGTCGTCTTTAAGACCAGACAGGTAATCGTTTCAACAAAATAGGAGTTATCACGGTTATAAGCATCATGAAGAAACTTAGCTTTGAAAAGAAGATACCACATTGACAGTAAGACATCCAATAACTTTGTTGACTCCAATAATATCAAAAACAACAATGAGCCTTATCTCACTAGGTGGGAACTTTATAGGAAATTTAATTGCCACAAATTCAAAATGATCCGTACAAGTTCCATTTTAGAATTATAATTAATATGTACATCCATAATAACAACCATGTGAAGACTTCAAATTGATTCATCCAAAAACCAATAAAAATTCAATCACAGCAAGCTTAAAAATCCAGGATAATGTATCCATCTACTAGCAGGAAGTTTGATATATAAGAACTGCTATTGCTATCTTGATGTAAGACAAACTTACATGGTACCTCAAATTTGTATAGAATCTAAATAATTTTTGGTTACCATCATGAAACAGAAACAAACAATCACAAACGTAATTTGATCATAATCTTAATCCAATAGAGTAGGAGTGCAAGATTCACAACACTGTAGTATCCAAAGCAATGAACTTAACTACCACCCATGGCAAGAGTACTTACTTGTGCAGATTTGATAGGCAACTCTTTGCCAGAGAGTCTCTTATAGTGCTCCCTTAACAATCTCTTGGAGTCGTACTCTCTGATCTTCTTGCGCGCCATTTCTTCCTAATATGTTCATACAACCCAAAAAAAAAATGTAATCATCAATTCATTAATATCGGATCCAACCTTACCATCACCGAATGTGAGAACAAGAGCGGGAAAGGAAGCTAAAATAGACCCATTAACCTCAAAAATCCAATCAAAATCTGAGATTCAAAATTCAGCAGATTGTGCGCAGAGAAACGAAAAACAGAATAAATAGCAGCTCAAGCGCAACACAACAAAATCTAATGTGGAAACGGAGATCTGTAGGTTGGCAAGGGAATGCAATTACCTTTGGAGAGAGAAACAAGTTAGAGGGGAAGAAGGTGGGTAGACAAATGGATAGATCCAACAAACGACAGGACGATGCGCGGGTTGCTGGCTGTATTTATAGATAAAAAGTTCGATTTTTGGCGAAGATTTTTTTTTTTTTTTTTTAAAAGAGGGGTAGGTTGGGTTCAGCGCAGAAACGAGAATTTATTTTGGTGATGGCTAGAGGCGAATTAGACGAATACGCAGAACACATGCGGTACCTACCTCCTTCAATTCGGACCAACGTTTCAACAACAGCGAGAACGACAACGGATTTTGAATTTGATAACCTGTTTACGTATGCACGTGGGAGTGTTGGATGCCGTTCATCTCCTTTTGGTCAATGATCACCGTTGATCAACGCAACGCTTTCTGATAATTAATTTTTTCTGTATCCGCTACTCAAATATTAAAGAAGAAAATATGCGAGACATGAAAGGGATCACAAATGAGGATATCTGAATATAGCAAATAACTCATCAGGACCATAAAATTAAATTTTAAAACCATAGTCCCTTTTTAAAAATTTAAAAATAATACTTTAATTGTCGATCAAAAAATAACACTTCAATTAAAATATTTCTATTTGAACTACTAACTTAAAATTTATTAATACTGAAATCACTTTAATTTAATTAAAACTTTAGTTGAAGGAAATTATGAAATTATTTTATTTGAGTATAAATTTTTTTTATTCTTTAACTTACAATTGATTAACTTAAATTTTTTTTTGGTCGAAACTAAATTTAGTTATTAGAATTATGAATCACTTTATTTGAGTTGATTTTTTTTTTGGTTCCCTAAATCACAAACTTCGTTATCAGGCATGGATATTTTAATTGAAGTATTGTTTTTAAAATTACAAAAAAAAAAGAAAGAAATGTCCGAGTCCTAATATTTAATCTCATAATTTTATAGTTGTGATTGATTGCTTATAATATTAAGAGGTCCTTGTTTGTCATTTTTCCTTGGAGAACAATAAACGCAGCTTTTTCTGCCACAGACGTAGTTTCTTACAGTTTTTTAACATGCTTACTCTTATCTTATTCTTTATTCCGTTAAGCTTTTTATCTTGTACTGTAATTTAATTTCGTTCTATAATGTTTACGGTTTAGTGGAATGTTGTTGTCTTCGTTAGTTTCGAGCATATCGTTTAATGAAATGTTATGTTGATAGAAAAACAAACTTTCTACTTATTCTTCTTCTCTTTTTTACTGAAACAAACTTTCTTTCTAATATAGTGTCAACAATGCCGTTACATAAATAAAACATGTCTGGGGAAGGGATTGTTGCTGTTTAAGTCTGGGATCTTGTATTTAAATTTGTGCGAATAAAAAAAAATATTTTCCAAAAAACTACTTTCAGTTTAATCATTCAATGTTTGAATCTAGCCATTCAAATCATATCAACAAACATTATATGTAACCCAACCACCGATGCATCATTGTTTGTAAAAACCGGACTGATCTGATTAGGTTGACTTACAAACTAATGAACTAGTCACTTAGCTAGTTGATTGATTGAAGAGATCGGTTACGTATGACTTAGTTTCAACCCGAATAAATCTAGCTAAGTCAATGGATTGATGGGTTGATCCGAGTCATATTTTATTATTTTTATTATTCTTTATTTTTTCTTTCTTTTTTTTAATATTGAACCTTAAATTAAATATAAATTTTTTAATTAATAATTTTAATACTATTGTGTCTTATTATTATCAGAATTCAGAAACTTATCATTATTGTTTTTACAAGACATGCAAAAGATTTTATTGATAAATTTTTCATTTACTGGAAAAATTAAATACTTTTATTTCAATATTATGGTATTTCAAATGAATATTTTATATATTTAATTAAATTATATTATTTTAATTATGACCGATTTGATTTGAAGTTAACTCCTGATTGGATCAGTAATCCTTAAATAACTACCTAATCTGGTATAATGACTGGTCCTGTTCAATGACTTGGTGCATTATTGGCACAAAGCTAAAACAAAAATTATTATTTTACAGTTACTTACAATTTTCAGTTGTGCGCTATAGTTTTAAACTTAACTGCTAATAGTTTAGTATTTTCCTGTAATCCGTAGGACCATTGGTGATTCCGCACTGTTTTATACCAGAAAATTTACCGGTTATATTATAGTACTGTAATGTAATATAATATAACAAATAATATAAACTAGATTTGCTCCCCTGCGATCTATGGGATCGAACAATTTCTTTGTTTTTTTTGTGTAGAAGTGTTAGATAATCTTATTTGACACATAGTTGAGTTCTAAATATAAATAAATTTTAATATCAGAGGTGTGCAATGGTCATCAATATCATATAATTAACTTCAAAGCACATAATTGCATAAATACCCTTGGCAAGTTTTTGAGCCATAGTTTGAATTTTATTTTTATTAAATACATGTGCTTTAATTAACGTTTAATGGAGAGTAACAAAAATTATTATAAAAATTCAATGACATGATTTATAAATATAATTAATTTTTTTTACTCTTATAAATAAGATTGGAAGGAATGTAAAATATAAGTAACAAATAACATGTCATGCATATTATGAATCTCATGTCCACCATTATCTTTTACCATGAGTTTTATACTTATTTTTTGGGGTCTCACGTACTCTTTTAGCATACAAAATTAAAAAGGAAAAAAAGAAAAACTATTCATCCAACCATAGATAAATAGTAACAATAATAAACTTCATGTGTGTAATATAGATAGATTATAACCAAATTGCAAAGCCCTTGCTTTGCTTCACATGACGATGTGACATATCACATTATTTTTAACTTAGATAGATAAATAAATAAGGGACCAAACTCACAACTTGTTTTTATTCCAATGCATATTGTGAGAAGCAAGAAAATACTAATGCGTTCCGGAAATGTACATTTAGAGTTAAGAGTCTAGAATGGAAAGACAAACGGAGCATTAATGGCCTTCTATATTGAAAAGTTTTCATCTTCAGAGTTGTTCAATCGCCAATATATATTTGTCAGGTGAAAATATTGTTCACGTGCTTTCAAGAAAGAGTGAAGTATTTTTTTTCATGGACTCGTTTAAAAGTTTTTAAAAGAAAATGTGTTATTTTTCGCTTTTTAAATCCAGCTCCACTTATTGAGATATCACACCACGTCAAAGTAATCCTAATAAAATCTGACATGAAACTGGTCAAATGTTAGTTTGACCCATCTACAAGTCAATAATCTTTCATGTCTTTTTTTTAATAAAAAAATCATGACGTTTTTCATCTCTTTAAGGAAAGACTAGACTATATTTTGAAAATGAACAAAAACATTATAACTCAGATGTATTTCATTGACCTGGTTTAAATTTGAATCAGGTTTCACCTAACAACTGCCCATTCAATGTTTGTTTGGCAGCAAGACACTATAAATTTTATAATCATACTACGCGATTTTTTAGGATTGAATTCATTTAGCAATGCATTTAATAAATTACTAATTATGGGGGGAAACTCGTGCTATGAAGCCCCTAGCACCCCAATAATGGGTGAGCCGGTTGATTCTATCTAGAAAAGTTTTATGTAAAATAACTACCCATTCCATTCTTTCTGCATTCTAAAGTATTTTTAATTGAATTATATTTTTTAAAAGTTAGTTAATTGGATTTAAAACTGCACATTCTGTTTATGTTAATTAGCATATTGATTAGAAATATTTATGAGTTACACTTTTAATTAAGGGATTTTTTTGGTTGGAAATGTCATATTTTTCACATGATACTTTTAAAAACATTTTATAATATTGACAGAGGGAGTATTGCTATTGTGTAAAAATAAATGGATATAAGTTGATATTCTATTATGCATAATCAAATAATTTATAAATTTCACTGGCAAAAAAAATAATTTATAAATTTTATAATTACATTACGTTATTTTTTCATCAGCGAAATCATTTGGATACATACTCCTCAGGTCCTATGGTGGGGTACATTACAGAAGAATCCTTTGGTCATTGATCTAAGACATATAAATTGTTATTTATTACTTCATTCATTAAAAAATATGAGTATTTTTAATTAAATTTTACCCCTCAATAAAGTAATTATTTATTTTTAAACTAACTCTATCTTTTAATATTTATCTCTATTAAACATTCTATAATAAATATAAAACCATTATCAATGGGAAAACTTTTGAAAAAAATATAATGATTATAACTCAAAAGATTAAAAATGTTTTACATTTTTGAATGGAGGGAGTATCATTTTTTAATTTTACCATTGTTGTGAATTTAATTTTATGGCTTATTGTATACTTTGTATCTCTCCTCTTATCTTTAATATGGTTAAAATTGAATTTTTTTCTAAAATTAGAATCCATATTACTTATTTTTAATTTTTAAACATTATAATTTATATTTTAGAAAAACAGTATGTAATATTATAATATAAAAATCAAATTTTTAAAAATAAAAAAGACAAAAATGGTTTACAAGTCAAGCTTCAAGTCTGATCAATAAAAATAAGGTTTGAAGAAATGATTAATTTTATAATAATTGAGGTTTTGAGGCTTGAACCCATACAGGCCAAGTCCATCAATTTACTGATTCTACTATTTGGTGCTTATATTCTTAACGTTTAAACTTGAGGTTTTTTTTTTAAATAATTCTTTTAGCTAGTTGAACGAAGTGCTTGTTAACATAAAAATCATATTTGAATGGAATTTAAACCATCAGTTAGTAATGTCAAAAAGGAGAAAAACGTAAGAGAGAGAAGCTCCACCTTTTCTCTAGTTCCTGGAGAAAGGTTCATCTTCCTTCTTGATTTCTTAATTTGTTTTCTTTTTCTTGAGCTATCTTATGATCTCTGAAAAGCCATTCGATCCCAACTTCACCTTCATAGCATCCATATCTCATAAGAAAATGATGAATCCCCCTGCATCCAAGGAGGAGATGGACTTATTATTGAGAAATAATTCAAAGCCAGATGAGGTGATGCATGAAAAAAGCTCAGAAATGCTACACCATTCAAATGCTATCAAACATATTGCAAATGAGAATACTCTTAATCATCCAATGGATACACAGCACACCTATAAAAATACTACTAATCCAATCAACAACAGGCCTGTATCATTCCAGAGTAACAAAGCTCC